AACAGCCCCTAGCTCGTACTGGCAGCAAGAACCCCGCTTGGGCCCTCTCCGATTCACAAGCAGGCGCTCCAGAGAGACACTCGTCATAACATGCCCTCCTGGCCCAGATCCAAGCTCCAAGGAGGAACAGCATGGCATTGGCCAGCGTGCTTAACCTAACCGCAGTGCAGACACGGGGCATTTCCACGGGCAGTGGCAGAGAAGTCCCGTTTCCTACGCAGTCCCGTCTCCCCGCCCCCAATAACGTCAGTTCCCAAACTCCCCACAGTTTGCAATGGAGAGCTCACCCTCACCCCACCGGCTCACTCTCAGCCCATCCTCACACGCTGCCAACTGCAACTTCCAGACCACTGTCTCCCCACTTTCCACCCCAGCCCCTTCCCAGCAGCCCTCCTTGCAGATCAAAACCTTGGACAGGCAAAGCCACCTCATTAGCCCCAGACAACTTGAGCGGGGAAGCGAGCAGCCCCGGGACACCGCCCGATCTTCACCCCAAGGACAGGGCAGAGGCTTGGAATGGAAGGCCAGCTGCTCCCATCGCCATCACTTTAACCTCTGCGTCCACCCCACCCAACCTGGGCACCAGCCAGTGCAGAAATAATTTATATGAACTTATCCTCAGAGCACCCCCCCCCCATGTGGCAGGGCAGGGCTACTGTCCCCAGTGTCCAGATGGGAAACTGAGGCACAGAGAGACTAGGCCCAGGGTCATGCAGGAAGTCTGTGGCAAGGGAGGGATTTGACCCCAGGCCTGCCAGGAACTAGGCCAGCACCCGCTTGCCCATCAGGCTTGGCAAAGCTAAGCCATTCACGTTTGAGACGTGAGGCTGGCTTCCTGGAGGGAAGGTTTTACACTCTTTAGCGGCACACATTCTGAAGCAAATGTGCGTGGGGCTGGGGGGATTTTTGTTTCTTTACAAACTCCTATTAGTAAATATTTATATTTCAGTGGTCCTCAGCAGTCCCAGCCAAGATTGGGCCCCACTGTGCCAGGCGTTGTACAAACCTAGCAAGTGACAGTCCCTGCCCCAAATTCACTTCACCCAACAAACCAAGCCTGGTCAACCCACCAGACCTCTAATCCCAGAATCTCCAAGTGTCCGAGTAACTCGCCACTGACGTCAGGTCAGAATTATCCTCATCTCCCCGACCAGGAGGCAGAGTTGCGGAGAGGGAAAGTGATTTGCCATCCAGCAGCCAAGCCGGGAATGGCGCTCAGGTGAGTCCTGCTCCCCCAGAGACGGGAAGAGAACCCAGCAGGGCCAACTCCTGCTCTTCTTCTAACCACCAGACCACACTGCCTCCTTCCCACCCACGGAGACCCAGTCACATCTGGAGGAGCTGGCAGCAGCTGCTCGGCCGCTTGCACCGAGACTGCGTGGAGTTTTAGGGCTGGAATATTACGCGGCCATAATTACAGCTCCCGCACCCCGGGACTCGTCCACCAACGTGCTCGGGCGGCGGGGAGAACGGAGGGTGAGACTGCACCTACGGGGCAACGCAGAACAGGCCTTCGAAGGTGCCTGGAGCGCAGGAGGCCAGATGCTGTTTGCAGTTTAGACTGGTGCAAATCCAGAACCGCATCGATGGATTCGCTTTGGGTTTACACCTGTGAGGCTGCAAACAGAATCTGGCCAGGTGGCTGCCTACGCCGGAGCACGGGCAGTCACCCGCAGCCGTGCAAAGGGAGCGCAGAATGCTACCAGATCACAAGAGCGATACGCTCCCTTCGCACGGCTGCATACAACCATGCTACCAGATCACAAGAGCGATTCGCTCCCTTCGCACGGCTGCAGACAACCATGCTACCAGATCACAAGGGCGATACGCTCCCTTCGCACGGCTGCAGACAACCATGCTACCAGATCACAAGAGCAATACGCTCCCTTCGCACGGCTGCAGACAACCATGCTACCAGATCACAAGAGCGATACGCTCCCTTCGCACGGCTGCAGACAACCATGCTACCAGATCACAAGAGCGATACGCTCCCTTCGCACGGCTGCAGACAACCACACCAAGGGCAGGACAATGACGAGTCAGGCCCCTATTGGACCCGGTCACTGGGGTGCCATATAGGACAGGGGTCCACCTCGCATGGAGGCCCTAAATGAGCAGCACAGCAGCCTGCAGGATCCCCAGGTCTAGGCACACAAGCAGCCTATTTGCTCTCCTCCCGCTCCCGCGATTCACGCAGCCCATGTGCCTTTGGCAACGGATTCACCTCCATAACTCCCTGCTTTGCGTCTCCACAGGATGACCCTTGCAGTCGAGCTCAAAGACCCCCATAGAAGATCAGAGACCCATGGCGCTGCACACACAGTGAGACACTAAGAGCCCCAAAGAGCTTACATTCAAAAGAGACAAGCCCAGCAAAGGGCAGGAAGGGAAACTGAGGCACAGAGGGCACAGGCAGAGTTAGGAACAGAACCCAGGTCTCCTGACTCCCAGTCCGGTGCCCTACCCTCTAGACCATGCAGCCATTCATAGAAGGCTCACCATTTCTCCCCTCTATTGCACCACACATCTCCTCTCCGCAGCGCACTTGGTGGGACCCTCGCTGAGCCATGAGACTCCACAGCTCCCTGCCTTTGCAGGTTCTTCGCCTCCCCAGGGCAGGTAACCGGAGCTCCGCGTTTGATTTAACAAGCGCTCAGGGGCGCTGGGACACTGGGTCTCGCTGGGGGGCTGAGAACCATTGAACCAAACTGTAAACCCTGCACAGGATGGAAACCACTTCCAGCCAGGCTGCCCCCCTAGTTCCAGCCCCCCTGCAAGCCTTGGTCATCTCTCCCTGCATGAACGCGCACCAAAGCTAGGGCTTCACCTACAGCTCACTAGCAATGCCACAAGCACGGAGCTCTGCCAGGCCAGGCCAGGGTCACTAGTTCTCCCCCGGAAAGCAAATTCCACCCCATGCTCGTAGGTTTAATAGAAGAATCACTGAGTGATGTTCTCTGGCCTGTATAACGCGTGAGGTCAGGCCAGATGATCCGACGCATCCCTTCCAGCCTTGAAATCCATGAAGTAAAGTTCAGTCAAGTTTTGCTTGAAGGCCTCTGACATCACTTGAACCCTGGATTACTATTCTTCCCGTCCGCAGCACCACAAACTAAACACCCCAGGCAACCAGGCTCCCCTGAGCCTGCCAGCCAGGAAAGGAGCCATCTCCTCATCGAAATGAAGTCATCTGTTCATTAAGTCGGAGGGATTCGGAGCACAGAGCAGCCGTAACTCCAGGGGAGTCGCGCTGGTGTTAAGGGAGATCGGGATCAGCTCCGGCTGCCTCCGAGCCCAGATGAGTCCCAACCCAATCCAGAACGGCTGTGATTAAGCAACAGCCAACCCCAGCGGCCCGGTGAAGCTAATTTTTTTTTAAACCTCCTCTTCAGTTATTACTTCAAGGCCTGAAGGGGAAATCAACTCACACACCCTTCCATGATGAGAAAAGCTTCCCAACCCAGACAGAGACCTGGGGCCAGATTCTGGTCTCACCCCTGGGGTAAATCGGGAGTAACTCCTTGGTGCACCGGAGTAGGGCTGGTGCAAGTGGGATCAGAATCCAGCCCCTCGCTCTCACAGATCCGGGTGAGCAAAGCTGGCAGAGGGAAGCATGACAGGCAGATCCCAGTGAACGTGACTGGGAGCATCAAACAGTCACACCTCTCCCCACCCCCAATCAAAACTTATTTTTGCTACTGCCTCAAAAAAGGGGACTATCACCCCGGGTGAAAAAGCTACAAAGTCTCCCAGGCTGCCCCAAATCCAGGTGATATTAACCCAGTCGCCAGGCCAGGCCAGGTCATCACCTTTCGTTTGCACAAATCGTGCAATGATAGGTGAGGCTACTAGGGTTTTCTGAATTTGCACCAGCTCTGAGAAATTCCCCCTCTGCACCACAGGGGCATTCAAGTCTTGTCTAGACTGGGGAAATTTTGCACTCATGTAGTTACCCCAATGCAAAGCCCCAGTGTAGACACACTAGTGCTAGTGTAAAAAAAAAGGCAAATTACGCCAGTGCTGGCTTACCCTGATTTCACCTGGATGGGGGCACACCACTGTTTACACCAGCACGTGCCACTTTTTGCACTGAGGTTTGCACTCGTGCAGCTATAATCATGCACAGACCAGCCCTACACCGCATGGATAACCCAGACATTAAAACACACTCAGCTTTTCTGTATGGGGGGGGAGGGTCTCAAACACCTCCTCCTTTTTCCACCTGGCAGGCACTTAAATTCACACCATGAATTTCACATTTCATTTTTCCGGGGCAAATTATTTTTAAATCAAAGGCCAAAAAAAAAAAAATTACATAGGAATATACTCAGACCACATCCCCCCCTCCTCCGCTGATCCCCTGTGTCCCCACTTTGATCCCTCCAGCCTCACCTACAATGCATATGGTATCTATTCCACCCGGGGGAAGGGGGGCACACAATATAAGAGTGGTTTTGATCATTCAAAAGGGACCCAGCAGACAACCCCCCTCTTGAAAATGCTCCATCTGCAAAGGCCAGGGAGCGAGGAAATGAGCCATGTACCATGCCCCCCCTGTACAAACAAAATAAACCACACACAGAGAGAGAGAGAAGAGGTGGGAAATAAACAGCAGCTCGCTTTTCATCTGATCAGGATCCCTCCTTTAAAAAAAAAAATCTTTCCCTCTCCATCCACCAGCTCTTCCCCACCGCATGCATTCCCCACCTGGCCACAACCCCAGGAAAGTCCCTGGCTTTTAAGGCCTTTTTGTGGTTGGGGGGGGGGGGGGGAAGGCAACAATTCAAATCATGCCCATTACACGAGCCCACAAACAATCCACCCCCTGTGTTAAGGACGAATCTCCTCCTGTAAACCTTCCCCGCCATTCCCACGCCCCCCCTCCTGCGTGGGGCTCACCCCGACCATGGGAGCCTGCTCTGTCGCTTTGCATTTTCGGGGGGTGGATGCAAACTTTGATCCGACGCTCCAGCAGGCTTCACACCGTATTGTTCACTCACCATTGCAGCGCCAACCCAGCCCGCGGCCAATTCGGATCCAAAGCAGGACGCGGTTTCTCTTTTGTATCTTCCTTTGCCTTTTGTTAGCTCCCAACCCCCCTCCACACACACACACAACTGCAACTGACTTGTGGGCTTTGTCTTCCTCCCCACACACACTTTCTTCCTCGCAACACCAGCAACTGGGAAAGCAAAAAGCGTCGCTTCCAAAATCCCCCCGGCGCAAATCCACGGGAAATGCCCGACGTTTCCCAGGCTGCGGCTCCCCTCCCTTGGAGCCGCCCGCAAAAGGTAAAAAATAAAAAACTCCGGCTGGGAAATTGCAGATTCCTCCGGCCAGCCTGCGTGTGTGTGTGTGTGTGTGTGTGTGAACACCAGTCCCGGAGCCCGGCACCCCCCCCAGGCTGTTCTAGGAACCGGTTCCCTCTCCCTCCAGCGCTCCCATTGTCTCCGAGATGAAGTTCCCAGAGCCCCCCCGCATTTTGTTGTAGTGTGTCGGTGTTAAAGGGAAAGAGCAGGCGACAGGGGGAGGGAAGAGCATTGTCTGGCAGCTTTCTTTCTTTTTTTTTAAGATTCCTGGCAGAGGAAGGGGCCATCCAGCCCTCCCAGATTTCAGCGTGCGGGGGGGGGGGGAACTGAAATTATTGCACGCGACTTTCCTGTGATTTTCTCACAAGCAAGAGGGGAGGGGGAATGAGATGGATTCCTAACCTGGCGCAGTCCTTGGGCATCGGTGTGTCCGGCCTGCTGCATGGTTAAGTCCCTTGAGGGTTGGAGGCGAAGGGGGAAGATGGGGGTAAAGCCACAGAGAGAGACCCCCACAGGCTGAAAATAATGACTGATGGCAGAAAATAAGGGCCCCGATCCTGCAAATATTTACCATGGCTGCGTGACTTCAATGGCACCACTCATGGCTTTAGAGTGACCAGACAGCAAATGTGAAAAATCAGGACGGGGTGGGGTGGGGGAATAGGAGCCTATAAAAAGCCCCAAATATTGGGACTGTCCCTATACAGTCAGGACATCTGGTCACCCTACATGGCTTCTGTCCTGCAAATGGAGCCATGGAGACTGACCCCATGGCGTGCTGGGCTAGTTTGCAGGTTCCGGGGCCCCTGGATTCAATCAGGGGCTTCAGCTGTTCCATTCATTTCTGTTTTGCAGGGTCAAGCCCAATCCCGCAAGCCCTTCCCCCAGGGAGCAGCCTTGGCCCAAGCACCTAGTTCCATTAGTCTGGGCTCTGATGCCCCCGTCCCTCGCCCTGAACTTTGGGTCATCCTTTGCAGCAGGGAGTGAGGGCCAAAGTGGGTGTAGACGCCCCCAGATCAAAGAGGTTGTATTCCACAGCCAGTGTGTGCTGGTGTAAATGACTGGGCAAAAAGCCAGGGCAGCTGTGGCATGCTGACCGAAGGGCCAGATTTACTCATGGTGCTTGCACCCTGCAACTCCCCTAGTTCTCAATGGGCGGATTCTCCATAGTTCTCAATGGGGGGCAGTGGCCAGTGTTCTCAATGGGGAGATTCTCCGTAGTTCTCAATGGGGGTGCAGTGGCCTTTGTTCTCAATGGGGGGGATTCTCCATAGGTCTCAATGGGGGGCAGTGGCCATTGTTCTCAATGGGGAGATTCTCCGTAGTTCTCAATGGGGGGGCAGTGGCCATTGTTCTCAATGGGGGGATTCTCCGTGGTTCTCAATGGGGGGCAGTGGCCATTGATATCAATGGGGGGATTCTCCATAGTTCTCAATGGGGGGCAATGGCCATTGATATCAATGGGGGCATACTCCATAGGTCTCAATGGGGGGCAGTGGCCCTTGTTCTCAATGGGGGGGATTCTCCATTGTTCTCAATGGGGGCAATGGCCATTATTCTCAATGAGGATTCTCCATTGTTCTCAATGTGGGGAATTTTTAGGGTTTTTTTCCATTTTCATTGGAACTGCTCACAGAAAGATGTGGCTGATTGGTTTTTGGTGTGTTTGTGTGGGGGGGTTAATGTAAACCTGAACATTTTACAGTTCTCTAAAACAAACCAATTTTTTAACCCAAAACGTGAATCTTTGACCGATGGCGTCTGGCGTGCCAGGCCCCCCGATCTCGGTGGGGTCTCTTGGTGCCACTGTGCTACTTACCGCAATAATAAATCAATCATTCCTCCCGACATCTTCCGTTGGGTAACACACAGGAAAGCAGGAGGGATTACACTTGTTCTCAATGTCAGTGCCGGGAGGAAAACCCAGCTCTCCTGAGCTGCGCCCTAACCACTAGGCCCCATCACCTCTTTATACTTTTGTTGTTGTTGTTGTTACTGAGGCTCCTGTATTCAAGCCCAGCCAAAAGGTGATGTGTGGGGTTGTTACATTCGGAAAATTCCCCTCCCCCCACTTCACACATGTTCCATTATTTTTATAAAGACAAAAATTATGCTTGGTCTGAGACCCCACTAACTCATACCACACGGGCCGTCGGATGACAACCGATTGTGAGCCATGCTAGAGTGAATGTAAAACCGTTGTTAGAAGCTCCAAGTCCCGGTTACTTATCCCCTGAACCATGCATACGCTCTCCTCCCTCCTCGCTCCCTGCGGGCACCTGAACTGACAAATTGCAGCAGGTCCTAAAGAGATTAGCAGAAATGATGAAAGGTTGGAGAAATGAGCACTCCAAGGAGGTGGCACGGGAGAGCTAGAACGGGGGGGGGGGGGGGGGGGGGGTGAAAGACACGTTCGCTGTCTATAAATTCATACCCAAAATCTTAGGTGGTGGCCGTCCCTTACAGTTATTTGCTTGAGAGGACAGCTGGGGGAATTAGGTTGCATCTCAAGGAAACCTTTATTTTAGAAAAAAACATGACAATAGTGCAAGGGAAGTTTGGAATAAATTCTCTGGGCCGAACCTAGGCACCAGCCTACCCCCACTGGGACGCAGAAGGACATCAGTACATTGCTTGAGGGGAGCTGATAATTACGCCAGACCCAGACCCTACCCTCTCCCTGCAGGGGGCGCTGTAGTGTGCAGGATGTGAGCATTGGCTGTGGGGAGCAACACCGGTCCTGGTCTCTTCCAGCAGGGGGTGCTGTGGGAGCGAGGCAGGAGCCCAAGCTGTGTGTGGGGAGGGCTCCCAGATACTCCAGTTCCAGCCTCTCCCAGCAGGGGGTGCTATAGAGAGCAGGACACGAACTTTGGATGGGGGGTTTCCCAGCTACCTGTTTCTCCCAGCAGGGGGTGCTGTGGGAAGCAGGGTAGTAGTGCGGGCTGTGGGAGGAACTCCCAGTTACTCCAGTTCCAGCCTCTCCTGGCCGGGTGTTGAGCAAAGATGGAAAAGCTGAGGGCACCTGCTGCCGTTACAGGCCCTGCTAATGCACATTAGACATGGAGTTAATAGATGGAGGCCGGCATGGCAGGATTGAGACAAATAGATATGTAGGTAACAGAGATGAACAGAGGGGTGTGTAAGATAGATAGATAGAGGGGGTGTATGGGGATAGATAGATAGAGGGGGTGTGTGGAGATAGATAGATAGATAGATAGATAGATTAGATAGATGGGCTGTATGGGATAGATAGATAGATAGATAGATAGATAGATAGATAGATAGATAGATAGATAGAGGGGGTGTATGGAGATAGATAGATAGATAGATAGATAGATAGATAGATAGAGTGGATGGGGATAGATAGATAGATGTCAGCACCTGGATGAACAGAAGATACATGTAATATACGATATACATGTGTATATGTCTATAGGCATAGGGAGAAAGGTGGCAAAATTACAGGCCCTAGCTAGGCAGTGGAGAGTCATAGGGAAGGGGGGGTACGGGTTAGAGGGGTAGATGGGGTGTTTAGGTGACTGATAGGTTGACAGATGCAGCGGTGTGCTAGGCCCTGGATAGGTGGATACACACTGTGCCTGGGTGTCCTCACATGTACCCTACAGAGGTCCCCCTACTCCTCCCATCTCTCTCTCCCCAGCTGGATATTAAAGGAAGCGGGGGCGGAGGCAGGGGAGATCACAGGAATCAGCCGTGGGAAAAGCCCATTCAATCATCCTGCTCTGGCCACGTGTCCCCGCCTCGTACCAGCCACCCTTCCAGCCCAGGCCGTGGGGCCGGCTTCCCTGTCCCCAGCATACCAGTTTCCTACCACGCTACGTTTGCCGTCCCGTCAAGAGACATTTGGGACCCTGGTATATCGCGTTCGTGGGGCCCCACCCCCTCACATTTCACTTTAGTTACACAGATGTTACAGACGTTTGGGGGGGCCCTGAGCTCGGAGCCTGGGTACAATTGTTCCCCCCTTTCAGTCCTGCACACAGGGCCCGGAGGTGGCTGGCTTTGTTCCCAGCAGCCAGGCTGTTCGGAGCAGGGGACCAGCAGCACTGGGGCCCGGGGAGGGGGCTGCCTAGAAGAACCCCTTGGCCCTGCTTGGAGGATCAGTGGGGAGACCGGGCAGCACAAAGCCCCTGTCCAGCCCCTCACCCTATCCATCCGTCAGCCTCAATCATAAGCTCCAACCTCCGCCTTCCTGGCCACTTTTATTCAATGGGACAGGCCCAAGGGGGGGCGGAGCTCGTCTTCCCCCACCCCCACCGACCAATCCCCAAGCGAACCTGGCTAGGCCACACGCCATTGGTGGGATTTAAATGGATTGGTTTCTCTTAAAGGGGAGGAGGAGGAGATGTGGAGGGGAGGGATGGGGAAGAGGAAGGCGTGAGAGAGGGGGAGAAAAGATGGGGGGAGCTCAGGAAGGGTGGGGGCAGGGGAGGGCGAGGCAGACAGATGGGGAGTGGGTGGAAGAGGCGGATTGTGTCAGCAGCCCAGCCCCCCCTTATAAAAGGAGCACGGGGGAATGGGAGGGGGGGGGGGGGCTTCTCAGCCTGGGCACAGAGTCTAGGCCGATGGGGCTGGGCTCGAAGGGCAAATGAGGAGATGCCACAGGCTTCCCCCCACCCCAGCTGCCTCCTGTCCAACCCCGTCCATACATATCCATTGCTCTGCGTCAATTGTATCAGACAGTCCTTGATACAAAGGGCACACAATGTAACAGACGAGGCAGGATCACTAGCCCCAGCCAAGGGGAAACTGAGGCACGGAGAGACAGCGAGCTGGGAGCAGATTCATAAGAAAGCTCAGTGCGTTGGGTGGGCATAGCGCCTTGGAGGACCGGGCCCTTGCTATCCAACAGCCCTTGGAGATTGTCTGGGGAGCCGGACGTGGCTTCCCACAACCCAGCTGCCCCGTCCCAGCCGCTCGCTCGGGAGGCAGAGGTGATTAATGGGCCTGTCAGGAGAACTCCCAGCCAGCTGGGATCCTCAGCAGCGGCTCCGCCATCTGGGGAGGGGCTCGTTGTTCCGCCCCGTGATTTTACACAGATCCCCCACCTCTCCCAGCGGCACGGCCCCCTCAGGATTGGGGAGTGCTCCTGCAGGCAGCTGGGCCCAACTCCATCCCCAGGGCATGAGCTCAGCCCCT